TATTCTTGTTTTTTAAATTGTTTAACTTAAGGATTAAAACGGTAAAATTGGAAATCAAGGCGTTTTGCCTTAACGATGCGAGGCATAAGCCTCTAGGCGGATCAAGGCATAAGCCTCAAAACAGAAAAATAAAAACTTTTCAATTATAACATTTTTTTAAACTCCCCATATTAATTAACATTGGGTTCAGTGTAATATAAAATAAAGCAATAAATTAATAACACAACAAAGTAATTCATGATATTTAAATCATCATTTGATTTTTATTTTTTTGAAACTTGAACTTTGCTAGTTTCCTTAAATTGATTGTGAAGTAGAAGTTATTATCAATTTGGTAGTCATTTTAATATTAATATTGATATCTTCATTCTCCCCATCATCAAACACATTTCTCCATTTTCAAGTTTAAAATTTCACTATTTTTTTGCTATTATCCATTCATCATTAAATAATATATCATTAACAATCAAATGATTTATTTCATCATCATCAATTATTCACCTCTATAATTTGAATTATCTATTTTTCAAATTTTTATTAAACATAACACAACCATTTCACCTATTCATTCATCATATATCTAAGTTGTTCCTTTTCTTTGTATAATAGAATAAAAAGTATATATTACAATGATACTAATAATATATATATTAAGAATTATAAAATTTAACCAGAATGAGGCGCTATATCAAAACGCCTCGAGGTATACGTCTCATTTAAAAAAAAGATAAGTCTCACCGGCACTAGTGAGACTTAAGCCTCGAGGCACTCATTGTGCATCTCAATTCAAAGTGTGCCTCGAGGCGTGCATCTCGAAAGATTTTTTAAACCACAGTTTAACCGAGATTTATACTTTTTTTATGTTGTGGAGGATTGATCATTTTTAGTATATCAGAATTTTTTAATTTATGGATGCTAAATTCGCAATCAAGCCAGCTGGGTTTTGCTTGGCTATTATTCAGGAGTACGTGATTGCACATTTGCTAATTTAAAGAGCAAATTCTTCTCAGCATAACTTGAACATAGCCATTTCGTCATTTTTGGCTAACATTTATTATAATTGGCAAACTTGGTCATTGTTACCCCTCTTTTTATACGCCAATTTTACTTTTTTTTTGTCACTCGTTAGGTCAAGTAAACTTTCTACTCCTTGAGCTACTGATGAACTTTAAGCTACAAAGTAAACATTTAGGCTTTGTTTGATTGAAAGTTTTTTGTGCTTATTCCGTTTTAAAACGAGAAATTCATTCTTCTTTGCAGTTTGGTTCATCAAATCACGTTCCTAATAACTATTTTTTTTCATTTTTCTGCTGTTTTGGGAAAGTTTTTTTATATATGTTTCTCCTTTAGAAAACTCCATTTTCTGAACCAATGTTTCTTAAAACTGTCTTTTACAAAAGTACAAAAAAACCAAACAAAGCCTTAGGTTTCGTTTGGGTTGACTTTCTTACTGCATCTTAAAACAGTTTTATTGTACAAAATTTTTAATTTATTACTAAAAAACTGTTTTAAGAAGCAGTAAAAAAGCCGTCCAAAAAAAAACCTTAGTTTAATTGTGCTTTGACTAAATTGGGTTCTTGCATGCTTATTGATTTATGATGTATGAAATTCTCTTGACATTTTTTTATCAAATTTAACTAGGGCAAATTGACTGTTGTTCTAGCAATTGTTCTATTGATTTGCATATGATGGATTGAGAATAACTCTTATTGTCATAGCTAAAAGAGCACTGGTGGAAGGGGTTGTGATGGAGAAAATTTAAAGACATTACTATTGATAGATAGTTAATAGAGCTAACATAATTATTGAGGAATTAGCTTTTAGGGAGCACTATTGGTAAATGCTCCTCCTCTTTGCAATCTACTCCTGTGCTTTATTTTTTGCCCTCTATGGCTCTATGTCTCCTTCCCTAAAAAAAAATTAACTCAGTTATTTGAAATAATTTTTTTTTTCAAGAAATGAAATTGACATTTTTCTATGAAAAAACATGATAGAGAGAAGATTTCCATTGAGTTGAACAAATTTTTTTACTGTGGAAGCACATTCTTTTCTACATAGTCTGTGATTCAAAATCATCATAGAAATCTTGTAATACTTGAAATCATGTCAACCATGCATATTTTTGTGACAGTTTTAACTCTGTAGATTGTGAAGAGAATGCTCCATTATTTTCTGCTAATGTTTTAGCCATTGATCCTTAATGTGTTTGTAATTCATGTGGTGTTCATCTCTGTGTTCTCTATCGCAATATTCATTCTAGAACTTTCTAGAATCAACTTTATGATCCTGGCTTTTTTTTTTTTTGGGAACCTTATCATACAAAGCATTCTAGCTTAGGTAAATTGTTCCCTTATTGGCTTATAAAATTCAAGGAGAGTAAAATTTTGAGATTTAGGTCAAGGAAGCGATTCTTCTCGATCTGCATACCAAGGTCAAAGACCAGACTCCAAAATTGGATTGGAGAAACAAATGATTAGAGATCCAAGAGATAGCAAAGAAGTTGGCTATGATGAGAGCAATCATCCCCAGACATTTGAGGGTCTTGAAGAGAAATTCCTTGAAGACATTATGAAATTGACCAAAGAACAAGAGGAAGCTGAGGACAAGGAAAATACTCGGCATAGAGAGGTAAATTTGTTCACTATTTTTTTTTCTTCATCCAGCATTCAATTTGATTTTTTTTTTTTATCATCTTCTTACGTTGTTGCAGAGACTAAGTGAGATTAATACTCAATATCAAGAGAAACTGGTAACGGTCCGAGCTCAACAGGCTAGCCTTAGAGATGAGTTTCTTCGCAAGGAATCACAGGTTCGCCATAAGCAATACCAGCAGGCTAGTATAAGCAACTACCACCCAAATGAAGCTTATGGCTATGGCTCAGCTGCCTCTGCTGCCGCCGCTGCCGGTCATGGAGACCCACATCAAGCATTTGGCCGAGGTAACATTGACCCCTACAGAGAAGGGCCAGAGTTTGGTGGGGCTGCTCGGAGCCGCGACTTCGATCCTCGAGGTCAGTATCCTGGTGGCAGAGCTTATAATTCTGGTGGACGATATTATTGAAGTTTTCTGGAGCATAGAAGAGTGAAATATTCTTTGCTTTCTGCTTTTAAGTGATCTTCAGATGGCCATATATATTGAAGCAGTAGTTAGTGGAAGCTATTATGATCATAATATTGAGCACATATATTATAGTTCCATTCCATTTCTACTCTCTCTGTGTTCGTTGATCCTATGTGGGGAACTTGACATTGTGATATGCTTAATGGGGACAATATTTCAAATCTTTTTCAAACATTCAGAGAGGTTTTTTAGAAAAAAGTTTTCTACATGTCAGTATGAACTAGAAAGTGTTATCTAGAATTCGCTAGTTTTCTACTGGGTGGAAGTAAATTGATTCGCTTGATGAGCAGCTTAATGTTTGTTTGGTTAAAGGCCTATTTATCTTTGGTCGATTTGGATTAGCAGTTTATATGTAATTTTGAGGTCAGTTTTGATATTAAATTGATGTATGGTATGCAGCTAGGCAAATTATTACGTTTGGTGTTCGGGTTCAGCCGGACACCAATCCAGACGCGCCATGTCACCAAAATACGGGGTCCCAGTATATTTGGGTGATGTGGTGCATCTGGATTGGATGTCCAGACGTCCGGTGACCGGACGTAATAATTCGCCATGCAGCTCAAGTGTGGAAAACACGAGAAATTATTTTGTGCGGACACCGAACAGTTCAGAGGCCAACTAGAATGTGTCACGTCGCTTGGTACACAATAAAAAAATGATGTGACGTGAGATGTTTGACCTCTGGCCGCACAATGATTTTTTTGAAAACATAGAGATTTATGATGAAACGATATAGAAAAGATAAAAGAAAGACATCAAATCCTTGGTTGTTGATTTCTCAAAAAAAAAAAAAATCAAATAGTTGAATCCGCAAAAAAGCACGAAGGAGATGCGATCCTCAAACGTTCATAAAGGCTGAAATCTCATAAATCAAAACTCAAAATTGTTAATTTATCAGCATCTAAAATTACATGCTATTTATGATAATAGATCTTAACTTAAACAAATAAGTAAATATCAGAAAGTAATGATTAACAATTAACATAAAAGACAAGTAAAAGCTAATGGAATTATAATTGACATTCAACTTTCAAGTGTAAACATTCCATGAGCTTTTACCAGGAAGAGGCAGAAAATGGACCGCTAAATGCTTAGAGAAACAAATCAGTTTAATAACTTTCTTGGGATTCTGTATCTTCTAAATTTCATAATTTTCCGCAAAGATGTCACAAACTCCCTGGCCCGATGAAAAACCGCGTTCTGATTTGTCTGAATGCGCCAAGTCACCCAGGGTCCAGTGCATCCGGGTGACATGGTGCGTCCGGATTCGCCTCCGAACGGTCCGGATTCACCATGTGCAGAGCCTAGGCTACCGCCGACCTGAAATGGATTGGGATTTTGATGAGTAGAAGGATTTTGATGACTGCCAAATTGGATTACTGGTGTTCCACCTGATGGAACTGCAGAACCCAAAACAAAATTTGGAGATGCAGATGAGTTGTTCGGTTGAACAGAACTTGGAACCGTAAGAGTGGGAGCTTGATATGTTTCATTAGCCAAGGGATCCTCAACATCCATCGGATCATTACTCTGTGATACAGAACCTGAAGCTTCAGCGGCAGCTGGCATTCCGAAGGTAGGTGTGGCAGTGGCTGCATAGTAGCACCAGATGAAGAACCAAAACTAAAGTTGGAAACCTCTTAAGCAGGATTTTTAAGTTCAAATGAAAAACCTGTTGATGGTGAAGAACCAAACATAGAACCTAAAGTGGATGGCGCAGAAACCACAAAACTGTTATCAAACAAAGCTTAGGAGATGAAGGAATTTCTTAGTTTACTATACTTTTTAATATCATTTTGAAGCATAAAAAGATGATAGACGAGTGGAGAATGAGTGTAATAATTCTTATTTTTAGGAATAAAGGTGATGAACAAAATTGTGTGAATTATAGAGGAATTAAGTTAATGTGTCATACTTTAAATTTATGGGAACGAGTTATGGAGCGTAGGTTGTGGCGTGATACTAATGTTTCTCAAAATCAATTTGGATTCATGCCGGGTAGGTCTACTATGGAAGTCATACATTTATTGCGAGGTTTGATGGAGAAATATATAGAGAATAAGGAGGATCCACATATGATATTTATTAATGTACATAAAGCATATGATAAAGTTCCAAGAGAAGTGCTATGGAGAGTTTTTGAAAAGAAATGAGTTAATAAGGCTTATATTCAAATCATTAAAGATATGTATGTAAGAGGTATTACTTGTGTTCAAACACAAGGTGGTTTGACCAAGTATTTTCCTATTTCTATTGGATTACATCAAGGATCAACCTTAAGCCCATATCCTTTTGCTTTAGTCATGGATGTTCTCACTAGACATTTGCAAGAGGATGTACCTTGGTGTATGTTTTCTCTGATGATATTATTCTTATTGACAAGACTAGAGAGAGTTGAAGGTAAACTTGAATTATGGAGGTCATTTTTAGAGTCTTAAAGGTTTTCGCTTGAGTAAATCTAAAACTGAATATATTGAAGTGTAACTTTAGTAATAATAGACCTAGTGAGTGGATTGTGACTTTGGACGATCAAGTCATTAATAAGAGTACACGTTTTAAATATCTTGGATCTATTGTTCAGAGTGTGGAATAAATTGGGATATTATAAGCATAATTCAAATTGGATGGTTGAAATGGCGGGATGCATCTGGCTTATTGTGTGAAAGAAAAATCTCCCTCAAACTTAATAGAAAATTCTATAAGATGGTGGTGAAACATGCAATGTTTTATGGTGTCAAATGTTGACCTTTAAAAGAGAAGCATAATACTAAGTTAATTGTTGCAGAGATGAGAATGCTCAAGTGGATGAGTGGCTTTACCCCATAGATAGGATACAAAATGAGCATATACATGAAAAGGTTGGAGTAGCTCCAGTAGAAGATAATATTAGAGAGACTCGCCTTAGATGATTTGGTCATAAAATGGCGGCCTTTCGATGACCCGATTAGGAAAATAGAGAAATTAGATTTGATTTATGTTAAGAAAGTCAGAGATAAACCTAAAAGGATTTGGCTAGAAAATATTAGAAATGATCTTTCTTTATTAGAATTAATCAAGAATTTGACTTTTAGCATGACACAATGGAGAAAAAAGATTTATATAGTGGACCCCACATACTGGGACAAAAATTTGATGTTGTTGTTGTTGATGAATGTATTTAAAGCTAAATAAAAAAAGTATAATATAATAAATTTAAATAAAAGATGACTAGAATGTACATGATTAATTACACAAACTTTCAGATCAGTAGAGTTAAATATCAAAAGAATACAAATTTGAACAATATTATTATTCAAAATTTTGCATCTCTTGAGTCAAATATTATAACTTAAAATTTTACATAATATTAAATTCCAAATAAACTTTCATTCACATTTCTAAAAAAGAATATGATATTTAATCAATTATTAATATCAGTAGGCAATAGGCATATAAAGCTTTTTTTTTTTTAATTTAACAACTAAAAAAAAGAAAGCACTTCACACGTGCGATGCCACTAAAAAACACTTGGATCGCTCGCTATAAATTGGCTTCCGTGAGTAGGAAGTAATTTCGTGAAATCTGTGTGAGGCGGCGAAGGGAGAAGAGCGAGCGAGAGGATTTCGGAAATCAGATGGCGTGGTGGAAAAAGGCATCGACGGGATTCGGTGGCGAGGGCGATGGCAGTGCTGAGGAAAGGAGTTGTTCGAATAGGAGGATTGTGAAGTCGAGCTGCAGGACGGAGGAGGTGGAGCCGGGAAGGTTCGTAAGGAAATGCGAGAAGACGGAGCAGCTTCTTCGTCAGTGCGCCGGGAGGTAATTAGATTATTTTCTCTTTCAAAATCGTTCCAATCCTGCTAGGTTTTGCTTGAAATTCTTCTTTCTATCTTCCTTTCTAATTTTATGAAGGCCTCAGGGCTTAGGGCTTAGAAGGACGATATATTCTATGTTAGAAAGCATTATGTTGGTTGATCTTTTGCATATGTAGAAAATTATGAACTCTTTATCAAGCCTTAGTTAAATCATTCCCTTTAATTTTTCCATCTTTTAAGGCAACCTTATCCTCAAGGTCGGACTTCCAAATTGATCTGATGAAGGCGATGGATACCGATTCAGACACAATATCTCAAGTGTATCATTGTTGTGCACTAGAACAACAAAGAAGCTAAAAAAAAGGGACCAATAGATACGTGAGTAATTCGTCAATTTTTTGTCTTGGTGGTCATGAAAGTAGTGGTTTTTTATTTAACCATGCTTCATGTGGATCAGTTTTGTGCTCCTGCTGTGCTACCACAACCTTTACTCATTTGATCCCTCATTAACCTCTTTAGCTAATGAGTTTGTGAGGTTATGGTCCGCATCACAGAAAAGTTCTCTTGATGGTGTCAAGAGGATGGTCAATGATCTCAAGAGTATGTTGATGATCTCTAGAGGGCCAAAATGTCGAAGAATGTTTTGCTTGAAAGAATTCAACAACTTTTTGGAAGAAATCTGTTGGTAGTAACACAATGTTTGACCATCAGTATACACTAGTAATTTTAAAACACTGTACATCATATAGATCATGACACAAACATAATTGACCAACTTTGGCAAGCCATTTGTATGTAATATCCCCACTGAAATGAGGAATATCTTTACTGATTATTGAATCACTCATTGAACCAAATCACTACTCAAATTATCTCTATATTTGGTTTAGACATTGGAAAATGTCATTTAAGATCATCGTGATCGATGGAATTTACATTTCTATTTTATCTTATCTCATCATACAATCCTCCATAATTTATGATTCCATGAATCTTGATGAGCTCTCTACCGTGCTTTAAGGAAAAGACTAGCAAAAATAGAGCGGATTAGGTTCTTTTTGAAATGGTATTGTAAAGCTAGTTAATTTATTAAACTTTTTTGCACAATTGATTCTTTCTTTTATTATCAGTGTTAATGGCCATGGGTTTAATCATTTGCTCATGAAATTGGTTGAATCAATGGAGGGAGTGGTGGATGCGTGGTTTGGGTGGTTGGATTAGTCTGATCTTGGCAATGAAAGAGGACATGCGTGGATGATAGGATCTATTTTGTGGGATAGGCAATATGAGAACCTTGCGACACACCGTAAGGGAACAATGGATTCGTGATTGGTTTTGGCTGGCAAGGATTGCAATTTCTTTTTCTTTTTTTTTTTGTTGGGATGGGATGGTGGTTAGGGTTGAGTGAAAATCGGGAAAATTGGAGACAGAGGGAATTCCTGCATGGTGCAAACTGGGAAACTTCTTGTATTTGAATATGCGTTTCTGGCAAGATATGGTGAAATCAATGATGGCATGATGTCCAAATTGGGAAAACGTGGACAGAGGTCTTGCAAAATGGTGGTTCTTGGTTGGATATGGGATGAATGAAACTAGTAATTGGGCGGAAATCGGAATGGATCGACAGTGGTTGTAGAAAGGAGAATGTGCAACAAGAGCACCAATGATATGAACTAGGGTTGTAAGTGAGCTGAGATAGCTAAAACTTGACTCATTAACGAGTTAGCGATTTGTGCTTTTCGAGTTTTGAGCATGAGCTCGAGCTTAAACTTGAGCTTGTATATTATACGAACTTGAGTTTAAACTTGACGAGGCTCAGCTCACAAGTTGCGAGTATGTCTAGTAGTTTATGCAATGTGTTGGTTATTGAGGTAGCTGCTAAGGTTCTTTTCATTCATAGAACAACTGGCTATTATCTGGTAGTAGTTAATACTTAATAGGGCTGCATGCACCTATAATAAGAAAGCTATCATTTTTTAATAGGGATGCAAGCAACTATATGTAAAAAGCTACCAAATTGTTTTTATCAATAGTTATCAGATTTGTAAAACTAAATTAATTGTGATGTAGATTTTTTGAGAAAATAAAAATAAGGTTATAATCACCTTCATGCAGTGTGCATAACACCTTTTCCAGTTGATCTTGTGGGAAGTTTATAGGTGACTGACCATCAGTCCCTATTCTTTCAAGTTTCAACCATTATATCTTTAATACATTACATCATGAATTATGCCTTTATAATCATGTACTCCTATTTAGATGTTACTTTCATATGCTCACATACAAGCCATATTCAAGTTAGACTTATTATTAACTTAGTAGCACTACACTCCCCCGGGCTTTGAAATAATCCCCTCAGATCCAATCTTATTCTTTAGACAACTCAATATGCTTATGCTTCCGTAATTAAATCCTCAGAACCTTAAATCTTTATTCTAATATCACTTTTGTAACACTCCATAGTACCCCTTAACAGTACGTGGAGTATTACTAACATAAATATTTCATCATTTGATCATACAATATTTTTAAACATTTGACATCTTTATAAAACATCCAACAATTAAGTTCTCATTCATCTCATCAAACGGAAGCAGCTAATAACTTTAAATTTCAACATGAGATATTTACAAAGTCACTACAAAAATCTGAAGTAATACATCAGTGGGAAGTTTACATACCTCAATTTTAATATTTACAAACAAAGATAAATATTAACATTAATTTTGAAATAACTGGCAAATTAATCTGTTATGATCTTCTCATTTCCCTTTCCTGCAACAACAGCCAATAAGAAAAATATTGGTGAGCTATGAGGCTCAGTAAGCTTTACAAATTAATTAATATTTAAAATCCAATCATTGAAAATAATCAAACATTAAAATCATTATAAATTCAAACTTAACATTAATATTTACTTCTTCTGAATTCTACAATGAATATCAATTTTAGTCTATAAAATATTTGACTACACTTTCATAACATTATTCAATGAAGTCCAAGTAAACCTAATATTATCGTCATTGAATTACATAGATGTCCATTTTGCCCCACCTACTATGCAGGTATCATGTTCTCTGGTTCCCTTTTTCCCCATTTATATTGTAGTCTTATATATAAGAACCCTTTTGTCCCACCTACATTTGTAAGTTATATATCATTTATAGCCAAACTTTATTTTTTAATTGATATTCACTAAACTTTTCAGTATTCATGTCATTTTTAAGTGGTTGCATGCTTTCATAATCATTTATGTTCAAATTTGTATACAATTAAAAGGCATACCAAAGGTAAGGAAATTTACATCTTTCCAACATAATATCAAATAGGAAAATATTTAGATTAACATACTAAATATTATTTTACACTTACTTGATTAATTTATATACCTTATTATTCATACTTGACAACTTGAAGGTATAATCTTCCTATACATTAAACAACTTTGATAACATTTAACTTTAATGCATTCAAATTTAACCTCCATACTTATATTTGAAAGTCATTATTTTGAAATATACATGCATTACTTACCTTCTTGCCGAGGTATCTCCTCCAATTCTCTACTTCTTCCCCTTGTACGCTTATAAGTCACCTACAATCACTTCTCCCAATCTTATCAATATCACAATTTGATATATAATAAAGTGTATAACAATATCCTATACTTAATATCAATTACCTCAAATCCTTCCTTCTGCATATATCTGATGAATTCTCCTAAAAGTAAAATTAGGATTATCATTCATAGAACTTAATGGTTTTAGAAAAATTAAAAGCTAATAATAAACTCTATAATTTCTTACCTCCTCCTTCCTTCAATATTCTTTTCTTCTTCTTCTTATTCTTTCCTCTGATTATTCCTTCACAAAACTCACTGTTCTTTCTCAATATTTTTGTAAGTCATAAAAATTTCTTCAACTACACTTCTTTATAAAACAGAGATTTCCGAGTGCTATAGTGATCTTCAGCATTGTACCGCTTACTCTACAAGATTCCTGCGACTTGTTGTATGCACTCTGCCGAAATTAGCTACAGGAATTCCTGCATTCCTTCAACCCTTGTTCTCAGCCGTTCCTTATAGTGTTGGAACACTGTGCCGCACCTTTTCCTCTAAACACTATTCTGATTTTCCCACCGCTGAATTACTCCCGTATCTATTTCTCATTACCGAACAGATCCACAATGATTCCTGCACTATTTTCGCGTTATTTTTGGTTTCATTTAGGAAACCTAGACCCTTAAACTGCCCTATATAAATTAATAGAAAATCATAAACAAGGATAATTCTTAGTAATCTTAACATGAAATCCACACCGATGTCTTGCCATTGTGCATTAAGTGTAGGTAAGGTAGTATACATACTAATACTTTGTTAGATGAACTTTCCTATTTGACAAGTTTGATATTGGTTTATTAAGCTATCAGCATGTTTTCAAAGTAGGGTCAAAAGAATCTTTCCTATAGTCAAATGATGGCTTTGTTATAATCTGTGTGGCCAACCAATCCTCCATAGATGTAACTCCAGTACAAGTGATTATCGGAAGGGAATATGAGGAATGCATTATTTGTTTATCCTTTTAGAAGGAAATTTTCAATGTATATTGGTAATTGATATCAAAGGTAACAAAAATTGGCTTTCAAATTAAGTTATATCAGATGAAAATTAGTGCATAATAGATATTCATTTTTTATTCTCTTCAATGTTGGCTCTTTCAAATTTATTTAACTAAGATAAAAATCCTGATCAGTGTATGAACACCTTTGTTTTTAACACTAGAATTATATTTTATAACCAAGTAGAACTTTGGCATAAATGCTACCAAAAATTGTATGTTGAGCATTTGATTTTTTTGGGGTTGCAAATATTTTAGAGTTTGTGGTGATAATACAATAGAAAGTCTTGATCATGGAAATATTGCACTACATCATAATATTCCTCAGCATGGGTGGACTATCCTTAGCGTCAAGTATTTTATAGAATTGTATTCTTTACTCAACGTCCTGCCAATTTCTATTCCAAAAATGCCATAGAATAATTCAAATTTTTTTTGTAAAATCAGGGAGTTTAAGCATTGAGACTCAATCATCTTACCTATGGTTTGGTCAAATGCTTTTGTAGTAGCAGGAATCCATCTAGAGCTTTTCTATTTTAGAATGTCTATTTGTACAACTTTTCTAGGCAAGGATCATACATAAATTATTATACTTTCAAATGTCAACGAACTTAAATCCAGTTAGTACTCGAAGATTTATGCCTGCAAATGTGATCAATAGGGCTCTGTTGCCTCTGATTCTCGACAGACATATTTCTTGATCCGTGAAACCTTATAACCCTGCACCTAAGTAGATTTATTGTCTGAAAGGTGTTGTTGCGACATCGAGTCTACTATGGATAACAAGGAGCCACCTTTTGAACTAAGGTTTTCACCCAAAGAAAGGTGAAAGCTGATGTGAATTTGACCGAGATGTCGGAGGTGGAAAGAACCTGTTAAGTGTGATTGTTGAGGTTGTCCCAGAAGGGAACATTAGGAACTCTGAAAAATTTTCAGTGAATGCCTCAGAAATTTATAGCGTATAACAGAAAATTTTCAAGAGACAAGAACCCTTGCAATCAGGAAGTAGATTGATTTTTTTTTTTTTGGCTTTTGATACTCTTTAAAAGAATGATATATTTTCTAAAGATGCTATTGATTTTTCAGTCATGATGTTTTCATCTCGGAAGATTGTGATAATGCATACAAAGTGAAATGAACCTAAAAAAAAAAAAAAAAAGTTGCCAGTCTTTTGATTGATGAAGAAAATATCAGATTTCGAGGTCTAAATGGTTAGAGGGGATCTCACATAACCTGAATCTGATATTAAATTTGATGATGATTAGTTAGAAATAAAGTGACGATGATTTCTGGCATGACTTGCAAATGATAAAGGGAAGGAATGAGAGGCATGGGCAAGGAGAGGAAGGAGAAAAGGATCACAAGTAACTATATATAACTTGTGAAAGGAGACTGCACGGGAGGAGAGAGCCTAAGCAGGAGCAGGAGACAAACGTAGAGATGATAATTGCAAGTTCAATGGAGAGAATAAAGAGGGGTTGCATGAGAAAGAGGCCAGGGAATTAAGAGATCTAGTGACGAGAAAGAGAGTTGGGAGGGGGAGGGGAAGAGGAATGATGAAAGAAATAAAGATGGTTGTGTTAAAGTCGATGGGGTTGCGAGTGGTAGAGAAATTATGATAGGGTGGGGTCAACCCATAAAATGAAGAAAGAAATAAAGATGGTCGTGTGAGAGTGTTAGAGTCGAGAGGGGTGTGATTCATAGAGAAATCATGATATGGAGAGGTCAAATGGTCAATCCATAGTCTCAAAAGTAACTTATTGATTCTATTTTAGCCCTATGGCCTTATTTTTAGTGAATAAGTATCCTAAGGAGAAATACAATAAATAAATCAAAATTAAAACCTAAACATAATATATATGTTCAAATACATTAAAGAAAATTCAGACTATCTTAACCAAAAAAAAAAAAAAAAGTCATTAACATTAAAAATACTGTTTGATCGGTTGTCAGACACATAAAGGTAATTTTTTAAAATTACAATCAGCTATGCTTCATGGATATGAGTGTTGGGAAACAAAGAATTTAATATTATCAAAATTGATTTTGTTAGAAATGGAGATGTTAATATGTATTTGTGATTAAAATTAGGAGTGACAGGTTATGATAATTATGAATTCAAAGTGCAAGGACTTTCAAATTTTCTGTAAATGTAAATGTAAATCCTCCAGTTGTTTGACATGCCTGCCTTGTTCCCAGACCTGCAGAAGTCGTGGAATCAAAAACCGAGCACACCGAAGATGATATCTCCAATGACGTTAAGCAAGGCTTTCTTCCTCCATTTGAGTCAAACGGCTCTGAACCCTTCTCTTTTCCAGGTCTTCGTAATGATCTGGAATCAATCGAACGAGAGTTTATTGGTGGCTTCAGCACCTTCATGGAAGCTACAGAGAAGGTGGCAAACGAGTTCTTCAACTCCTTTGGCGTTCCTTCCATACAAAGTAGCCGGCCGCCGCTCGATCACCGGCGAACCCCTGCGCATTGGCAACATGAGAGCAGATCATCTAAGGAGATGAAAGATCATTATGGTGATTTAGATGTGGAGATTAGAGAAGTTTGAGAATCTTTGCTCCTGTCTCGGCAGATCTTGCATTTCTAGTTCACAGCTAAGTAATCAGACCATCTGAAATCATCTTATTATTTCAGTTTTTTTTTTTTAATAACATATGTAGCTATAGTACCATATGGAAGTTGTATAAAATGAAGCCTAATAGTTTAATGTTGGCAGATTAATTCAGAAGGATAGCCTTAGCCTTTTCTAGATCAGAATTTCTTAATGTGTGGAGTTTAATTAAAATGAAGCTTAATTGTGATAGACCTTTCATGGTGTGATCACCATTGGAATATTTGTAGGTTATTTTATTAATTACATTTTGTAAATTTTATTTTATTTTGGTTAGAATAGGAAAGGAACTGTCTTTATATTCTAGTTGTTTATAGGTGGTATGCATAAAATATTAAAGTTTTGGATATTAGATATGTAAATAATATGATATAAAATGATATGTATGTAAATCCCCTTTAATATTAACATATACTTTCACGGTTAAAAAAACAAACCGTCATTAGGAGTGTGAGTGAGTTAGGTTCGCTCGAGTTTATTTCGATAAATAGTTTATGAGTCGAATTTTATGAGCTGATGAGCTTAATTTTTAGTCAGCCTTGACTAAACTTATTAGCTCATTAATTAGCTTGTTTGAAAAGTATTAATATAAAATATATTAGAAGTTTGAAATTTAAGTATAATGTCATTAAGAAATATTTAAAAATAATATCTTAATTTTTTATATCAACTGATTATTTGTTAATTCTTCTCAAATTTTTCATTCTTTTTATCATTTTATTATAACAATTATTTGAATCATAATATTATTTATTATTATTATTTTTTTGGTTCATAGTAAATAATTCGGCTTAGGTGTCGATTCGAACTCGTAGAATTAAGCTGAACTCGAGTTCAAATTGCTTAATTAATCAAGCTCAAATTTAAAGTAGATGTGATCCCAATTTGACTAGACTTGTTAATGATGCCAATAATTTTTTCCTTTAAAATTAAAAAAGAAGAAGAATAAGAAGAAGTTAGGTTAGGAAGTGGAGCCTTTTAAACAATAATAAAACTTGTAAGCCACAAAACCTCCACTACTAGGCAATTATGTGCATGTCCGTAAGTCCATCCATATCAAAATTATTTGTTTATTCTCTCTAATTGATTGAAAGGAAGTGGTGGTGTACTGTTTCTTGTTTCCACATTCCAGTTGTAAATCAAAATGTTTCAAAGGATTATTATAATTAAAATTTGATTAGGATGAATATTTTATTATTAAATTTGTTTTAAAAGAAGCTAATATATTGATGAAATAATTAACAATTGTATATTAAATTTATCTTCAAATAAATTTAATAATTTGAGGATATTAGTAAAGTTTTAATCATTTTTTTTATATATATTGATGTTATTATAAACATTATTATACTAGCCTTGACAAAGAGGTTGGATTTAAAAAAAAATCATTAGCAGTCTTGATGAGCTGTTTTTCTCATAAATAAAAAAAAATGTAATTTGTTTATTTTTTTTATTTGTAGTTAAAATATTTGTTTTGTATTTATATGATTTGAATTGGTTTGATTTTATATTTTATTTTGTTTCATATGAGGTGATTTAAAAGGTAACCAAAAAAAAAAAATTATAGATATATTTCTCTTTTATTTTCAATTAGATTGCTCATAATATATTGTGCTTGCTGTAAATATTTTTCTTTGTCTTCCCAAAACCATTAAATTTAAAATTATTCTAATCAATGAATTTATAAAATATAACACTAAAAAATTATATTATCTGAAGTGATAAAGGGATTTTTTTTTAAATTAAAATGGATATTTTTTTTTTGTGGGAAGTGTAGCATAACATAGCAAATGGATATTGATCAAACTTTTAAAAAAAAAAAAAATAGGTATAATTAAAATAAAGGCTTCAAGACTTGTTCATGAACAATTTATGATTAATTCATGTTTAGCATGAGAACTCAATTTGCAATTGGTTGTTGAATTGGCCAAACTCCTTTGCAAGGGATGGATGCCTAACATGCCAAAATGTTTTATTTATTTTCTCATAAACTATTAGAAATTAAGAAACATTTAGTAAGAAGAATAGAAAATTAATGAAATATTTCTTTCTTGAAAAAAATCACAACTGATATATCACGAAAAATCATCTTGATCATGCACTAATCTCGAGGCATATTTGAATTGGAAACTTTCAAAATTTAGTTTGGGACCATCCAAACTCTGATCTCAGAAACCTTTCATTCAAATTGAACGTCATAACACCAAAATCGGACTAATTTGAGTCCAAATGGGCTTGACTAAGGAACTAAAGCATACTTGAAAGCTTCAAAACATTAATTTGGTAAAAAAATAATCTCCAAATATGACATGCTTACAGCCGAATCAAGCGGCTCGACGAGAAAAATCCATCAAGATCGGCATCACTTAATTCTAACATCATCAAGGCATTTAAATGCTTGAAAAAAAAACTCTATGATCGAAGGAGTCAATACAGACCGTTTGGTGAAGGGATATTACTTTGCCCTACATTTTTTCTATATTTATGGAGCATGTCACTACCAAAAAACTATAAATAAGCTTTCATTCATCACATCAAGAGGAAGGAAGAGAAAATAGAGTTATAGAGAGAACTCTCTTACATTTTTTAGTCATCACCGTCGATGATCACCACCATCTATTGCTACCGATAACCATGATCACCACCTACGACTTGCATTAGAAATCATCACTATCTCCATAATATTAACACGATTTGACTTTGTTGTTAGATAGATTTATTCGCATGTGGGCATCTTTCTATAATCCCTATTAAGAAAATTAAGCCATGCTGTTAGGTATAAACTGTCACTCTGTGGATACTTGATGTTTGTACTTTCCATCTTCTCTAACAATGAAAAAAGAAGAATATTTCTATCACTTTCATATGTATGTGCTCAATCTTTGTATAATACTAAATCTTAAAACACACATTTTATCGACTCAAATTTTATAGCATGCATGCAACAATAAACAAAGCAAACATACTGCATCAATTATAAAATTATTTGTTCATCAATATTTTAATATAAATGAATTATTAATTTATTTTGTATTTTTTCTACAAATGAGTTGCTCTCCCCTTTCAATTCTCCTTTGTTTGACCATTTATGATCAAATTATATATAAGTGAGAAATGTATATATTGCATGAGATATCTTCTAAAATAATTAAAAATGTATTTTTCATTTGAGACCAATTTAATTATTATTATCATTTTATTATTACTTTTTTTTTCTTTTTTTTTCTTTTTAATATAATGTTATGTGAAATGAAATTATCATTTTATTTTTATTATGCTTTACCTTTTTAATTTAGAAAAAAAAAATACGATAAATCATATTCAACTAATTAATATACATAATTTGAACTAAAAATAAAGTTTTCTATATAGCTTTAGTGGTTTTGATAATTTCAATAAAATTGATTTTTAATAATAATATTATTACGATTGCTAATATGAATAAATGATTATAATGTTTTATGCATTTGAATGCATCTATAAACCCTAAATTAATACTTATAGCCTTCATTTAATATAGCTATTTTTTTTCAAATTATAAATAATAACAACTTATCAAATTTAATTTTACTTATTTTTAAAATATTTTTCAGAGAAAAAATTAAATGTATGAATTAAAAAAATTCATTATTATTGTTATATAATACACACAAATGCCTAACTTTACTTACAGCAAAAAAAAAAATCTACAAGAGGTTTATGAACTTATGATATGACCTAAATTGGCCCTCAATGATGCAAAGGTGATACCATATATATGTTGGTATAAAAGCCTTGTTACTTCCTTCTTGGAACCGTCCATTTACTTTGTGATTTGTGCAAATGAAGATTTTGTTTGAGATAATTTTATTGCTGTTTTATAAAGTTGCTTTTTAATATAAAACTCTCTTGAAAGCAGAAACAATAGTAGTTTAAAGCTATCCCAAACAAAGCCTAAGAATATAGAGAATAAGCCCTAATTGCAAGCTCATCAACTTCAAGAGTAATTCGTAATCAAATTTGAGAAAAATAAATTCTGATAGCAGTATTCTTCCTCAAGCTTAAGGTTTTGTTTGGGATGTCTTTCTTACTACTTCTTGAAGTAGCTTTTAGCACAAAAATTTTAATTTTTGTACTAAAAAATTACTTCAATAAGCAGTAATAAAGTCGTCCCAAAGAACCCAAACGAAATCTAAATTTATTAATATGTGTTGAATAAATAATATATTAATTAGATGTTATAAATTTAGGTTAAATAAATTAAATTTGTCTCAATTTCATTAATGAGTTAAAATATTTATTCAGATTCATCTCATTTATTATCCAATAAAATAAAAGTTATACATAATTCATAAATAAGGTTAGTGGTCATTAAATACATTAAAATATTTTAATTTAGATAATGAGGATATTATTAATTTCATTTATTCAATAAATAAATTAAAGAAATATTTAATAAGCTAATCACGAATTATTTACCAATTATACGAATATCGAAATGAAATTATCAAAAAATCAAATTTCCAAAAAAAAAATTAAGATAATTTAAACTGTGAGATGGGACGGTCGATAGCTCAGTAGCCACCAAAGGCGAAGTCATCTTCTTTCCAGCGGAGATACTAGATAGCCGGCCGTGGCCGGCGCTACCTGTCAATCGCAATCGCCGGCATGTTGTATGGATCACCTTCGGCCCCATTCGCTAACCCTAGCCCTGGTAAACAAGCCGACCTTACATTTGATCCCAATTTTCACTCCAAAATTGGTCAAAATTCCAAGTTTTCATTCCCTAATTCAGTAAGCGCGTTTGTTTGACTTACACAAAGAGAGAGAGAGCACGAGTCCGCACGTTAAAATGACCGTTGTGCCCATCTCCGTCTTCCCGCATTCGCCGCTCCATTATTTCCCTTGCCCTTGCCTCGCACGCTTCCATAACTTGTCTGTAGCATCATCATCTCTGCCTGTGCTGCGAAAAGCTACGATCTTTTCTTCGATTGAATCGGGGATTACGGTTCGGAGCAACACCGCTTCGATTCTATCTGGATTCGAGTATTGGGCTTTATCATACTCGAGTTTCTATTTTCTGGATTCTATCTGGATTCGGTTTTTGGTAGGCAGTTTCCCGGGAAAATTCAGTTTTTCCCCTACCATCTTTTTGCTCCTGTCGATCTCTCTTCGTTTTCTGGATAAAGCCTCAATCTTACTGCGGAAAATCCCTCCTGAAAGGTGCCCTGTGGATGGCCAGAGTCCGATGCCGAGGGAGGAGAGGAACAATTGCAGGGAGTATTGAGGCTTGAAGCTGATGGGGAACACTTGTGTCGGCCCAAACTTCTCGAAAAATGGAATCTTTCAAACATTTTCTGCAAGCTTATGGAGAAATCAAGCTCAAGGCAATGAGTTAGGGCCGGCTAAAACTGAGGATGCTGCAATGGAGATCTCTTCTCCTGTAAGGCCAGATGCTGATGACCTAAATCCTCTCCAAAACAGCCCGCCTGAGCCGGTTAAGATCCAAGAATCTGAGTTCAAGCCTACTAAACCTCAAGAAATAGAGGTGAAGCCGGCATATGATCAATCTCCTCAAAATCCCCCAAAGAAGCCCAGACATGTATGGAGAGTACCAAGTGCTGGTCTTTTAGCTGGTTCGGTATTGAGGCGAAAAACTGCAAATTTGAAGGATATTTATAGCTTAGGACGCAAACTTGGTCAAGGTCAGTTTGGTACTACATATTTGTGCGTGGAGAAAGCCACTGGAAAGGAATTTGCATGCAAATCTATTGCTAAGAGGAAATTGACTTCTGTAGAGGATGTGGAGGATGTGAGGAGGGAGATTCAGATAATGCATCATTTAGCTGGGAATCCAAATGTTATTTCAATCAAAGGAGCTTATGAAGATGCAGTAGCTGTTCATGTTGTGATGGAATTATGTGCTGGTGGTGAGTTATTTGATAGGATCATTCAGAAGGGTCATTTCACAGAGAGAAAGGCAGCGGAGCTTACAAGAGTGATTGTGAGTGTTGTAGAGGCTTGCCATTCTTTGGGGGTTATGCATCGCGATTTGAAGCCAGAGAATTTCCTCTTTGTCAGCCAATCCGAAGAAGCACTTCTTAAGACAATTGACTTTGGGCTTTCAGTGTTCTTCCGGCCTGGTAATTCCTCATCTATTTAGATCTGTTAATTTTGTGTGATTATACAGTAAGCTCTGTCCAAAAATCCTTTGAAATCTTACTGATTTTCTTCTTTTAGCACTTTATGCAGTATATTTGGCTCATTTAATTGAGGAATCTAATTTTGTTTTTATGAGGATATAGTATATTAGCAGTTGACACACTGTGATTGAATTTTGAACAATTTTACAGAAGTATTAAATCAGACAGCTGAACTGAATAGGAAAAAGAAACTCCTCTTTCTTGCACTAATGGCGTATCTGATGTTGAAATGGCATCAGTATACTTTCCTACCCATGGGAGTCCAATTCGGATGCTTTGCTTCTGATTTCCTGGCTGACAAATATTAGTAGAAAGATGTGATGTGAGCTGCATAAACGGAGAAATTATTCTGTGCGGAGTTCGGACAGGAAGAACCGTCCAGACTGTGAGTGTACACAATATGTACAAATAATGTATGTTGTTTCTACACAGTGTGTACACTCACATTCTGGACAGTTCTTTCCGTCCGGACTCCACACAGAATAATTTCTCACATAAATGGGTCCTTTGATCGCATAAATGGGTCCTCCAGCAATATTGCTCACTAGAAGGCAATATCTCTGTCATAGGTGGTCTCGGTCTTGGTTTTGCCATCTCCTCTGTATGTTTTTATTTATATTGTATCTTATTTGGAGTACCTTTCTCCTCCTCATGATTGTTTGACCTCTTTAATTGGGACTGGTCCTTCTTTCATTAGCATATTGGATTGGCCCATTAACTGTTTAGTAGTTCTTATGAGTGTTAGAAGATCAAAACCTTCAATGTTGTTCTCTTTTTAACACTTGTTTGCATGTTAAACTTTCATTTTGTTTTCCTTGTATAATTATTTATTGGCAGTTATTCATTTCAGGGGAAATATTCACTGATGTGGTTGGTAGTCCTTATTATGTTGCCCCAGAAGTATTGAGGAAGAGGTATGGTCCTGAGGTGGATGTTTGGAGTGCTGGAGTCATAATTTACATTCTTCTTAGTGGTGTTCCTCCTTTTTGGGCAGGTTCTGATCTGTATTTTATCACCATTTCTGTAATAATTTTGCAAATCCGTCCCCCTTTTTCGACCAGTTGAGCTAACTCTTATGCGTCTGTTTTCTATCAAACCCAGAAACCGAGCAAGGTATCTTTGATGAGGTTCTGCATGGCGAGCTTGACTTTGAGTCTGATCCATGGCCGAGCATCTCAAATGGTGCTAAAGATCTTGTGCAGAAAATGCTTGTCAGAGATCCAAAAAAGAGGCTGAAAGCTCATGAAGTTTTATGTGAGTCTTCTCTTAATCAGAAACAAATTTGTAAAACAATCTGCTGTTTTAATTCTGATTTATCAGTAAAATACTGAATCGAGAATGTACAAAAGATCAAATTTTTATTAATCTATCTTTAAATTACATTCATGTGGTTTTGTTTTGCAGGTCATCCATGGGTGCAGGTTGATGGTGTGGCTCCTGACAAGCCTCTGGATTCTGCAGTTCTCTCTCGTTTGAAGCAATTCTCTGCAATGAACAAACTCAAAAAGATGGCTCTCAGGGTAAGTTGCTAGAAAAGCTCGAAGCTTTTATCAACAGTTATTACAGATACAGTTGAGTTCTTGATTTAACAATTACGCATAACTGTTCCATGGCTTTAGTAGAATATCCTTCCTCTCTATAGGTCATTGCAGAAAACCTCTCCGAGGATGAAATTGCTGGCCTCAAAGAAATGTTCAAGATGATAGATACTGACAACAGTGGACAGATAACTTTTGATGAACTCAAAGCTGGATTAGAAAGAGTGGGTGCAAATCTCATGGAGTCAGAGATTTATGCTCTCATGGAAGCGGTGAGTCTCATCACAGTATACATATATTGACTAGTTTTTATATTGTCAGGCATCACAGTTACGAACATCTTTAGGGGATGTTTGGTAGCACATAGGATTTGATTTAAATAGGATTTCGTAAATCAGGGATTTAGCACGAAAAGGCGGAGTTTTTCGTCTACGGCTACTTTCATTTGCTGTGAGATTTAATTTTGCATTTTAGGCCGTTTGGCTGGATTTCGCTCAAACCCGCCTCAAATCCGGCCTAAATCCTGCTACCAAACAGCATCCCTTAGAATCAGCTGATTTGATGTTTTCTCATGCATGTTTTCAGATAGTACAGTTAAGGCTGTTTGAGCATAACTAGGAAAGTACAAACTCTTATCTGTGTCACAAACAATTCATTTGAGTGATTAGCAATAAAAAAGACACTCACAGTAAAGTGCAGTATGAAAAAATCAGAAATTTAAAGTTTAATGTTTTGTTTGGGACAGCTTCCTTATTGCTTCTTCAGGCAGCTTTTTAGTATAAAAATTCTAAAAAGGTGCTTTAAGAAACAGTAAAGAAGCCATCCCAAACAATGCCTAAGGCTCTTAAAGTAGTTGTTTAGTACAAAAGTTAAATTTTTATACTAAAAACTGCTTTAAGAAGCAGTAAAAAATCCGTCCCAAGCAAAACCTGATATATTGTAAACTAGCAAAGATAGATTGAGAATGATTATAATGCAGAGCTTGTGAGTAATATTTATGAAAGTCAGAAATGATGAAAAACAGGCCAATGATTCAACTATCTACAATGAAGATCTGATAATGCATCAATTAGACAAATGAATTAAATTAACTTGGAAAGATTAAGAAAGAAGAACTGGTAGATCAAAGAAATGAATATATAAGGAGGATATTCATAGAGCCAACCAAAGTAACAGAGACGAGTCTGGTGATGATGACTCTTCCTGCTCATTGATTTTCTTCTGGTTCTTAGATCCCAAGTCTGTAATTCTCTTTCTTCTCTCACTTCATTCGACAAATTTCGCTCTTGTAGGCTGATGTAGACAACAGTGGCACCATCGACTACGGCGAGTTCATAGCTGCAACAGTACATCTGAACAAGATAGAGAGAGAGGACCATTTATTTGCAGCCTTCTCGTATTTCGACAAGGACGGAAGCGGTTACATAACCCGCGACGAACTACAACTTGCTTGCGAAGAATTTGGCATAGAAGACATCAGATTAGAGGAAATAATCCATGAAGTTGATCAAGACAATGTAAAACTCTTCAGATTTGGTTATCTCAATATCAAAGAAGAACAATTTCCTGTTTCCTCTGTTAAAAATCATCCTTTTTGGTGTTTTGCAGGATGGCAGGATTGATTACAATGAGTTTGTAGAAATGATGCAGAAGGGTAATGCAGGGTTTGGTAAGAAAGGTTTGCAGAATAATTTCAGCATTGGACTTAGAGAAGCTTTGAAGGTTGGCTAGCCAGGTAGCATGATGGTTTTTTTGTTTTTTTTTTGTTTTTTTTTTTTAATCTTCATTATTAGATTCTTTTGCTTCCCAGTTTTGGGTAGATTTGGAATTATATGAGTTATAAAGGTTGTTAATGTTAAGATTAAGGATAACAAATTATTTTGCCATATAAATATAATGAATCCTTTCATTGTTCTATGTGGTGATTTAGATTGAGAGAATGCAAATTTGATTTGTATGAAAAAAAAAAATTAATATAAAAGGAAGGATAAAGTGTATGCTGATATATTTGGAAGCTACTTTTTACAACGGTTTTAAAAAATTTGTTTTCTTTGCAACAATTTTATAAAGCAGCAAGAAAGCAGTCCCAAATAAAGATTAAGGCTTCATTTGGGACAGTTTTCTCATTGTTTTTTAAAACAACTTTTTAGTACAAAAATTTTTAGTTTGAAAAATTTTTTAATTAAAAAAATGTTTTAGAAAATATTAAGAAAACTGTCCAAAATGAATCCTAAGTGTTCATTTGAGATAACTTTATAATGCTAGGTGGTCTGGGAAGTGAATTTCAATTCATAAAATTTTCACTAGAAGCATCGCGATGTCAAGTGGGTAGAGTTTTAGTGTTAAGCTCTCTAATGGGGAAAGGAAAATGATCGGTGTTATGGCAGTGTGTGGCACTACCAAGCTCTTCAATGGTAAGATTTTGGGAGAATTTTGGAGCATTGAGGCGTGAGCTGGTTAGTGTTGTGATGCTATGTGAAAGCTAGTTTTTCTTTTGTTTTCCTTCCAGGTTCGTCCGGACGAAGTGGAGTTCGTCCGGGACGAACAGTTAAAAATTTGGTGACAGAGAGCTTCGTCCTAGGACGAAGGTATGTTCATTCGTACGAATTTTTGCCAGAGAACATCGTCCAAGGATTAAAAAGTCATTTTCGTCTGTACCATCGTTTTTTAAATAAATAATTATTTAAAAAATGAATATTTTATAAAGTGTAAGATGGAAATTTGCACATATTTTGATTTATCCTTATGGATCAACAATAAATACTTTTTTAGTAAGCTTGAAAATATTGTTGAAATTAATGCTAAAATAATAATCTAAGTTTAAAGTAAAATTGTTAAATAAACTAATAATCAATATTGAAAACATATAAACTACAAATGTAGTTGTAATTTCAAGCCAATTTGAAAGAAGAAAAGGGGGGGGGGGGGGGGGGGGAGTTGCTCCACTGTTGACAATAGTTAAAACCATTTTTCCATATAAATATAATGAATCCTTTCATTGTTCTATGTGGTGATTTAGATTGAGAGAATGCAACTCCGGATTCGACCCGAATCCGAACCCGGGACGACCCGTTCGAGTTGACCTGAATAGTGTCGGGTCAACTCCGGATTCGACCCGAACCCGAACCCGAACCCGGGATCCGTTCACCCGAATCGACACCCCTACCCGACCCCTAGTGCCCTCATTATATTTCCATTCTTGGGTTGTGTTGGGCATTATAATATATAAATCAGCTTATATAAAATTATTTTTTAAATTGTTATCAAAGTCAACCTAATTAGCGTATAGTTTGATCCTTAACCAAACACCGAATGGATTTACTTGTCCTTGGCCCATTCTGGAGGCTAGTAGCATGATATTATTTGGTTTGCACTTCTGGGCCTATATATATGGGCTCTCATAAATTCTAAGCCTTTATATATGGACTGTCATAAATTCTAAGCCCAAAGCTAGCTACCCTTGATCTGCTCGTCTATCTATGGTCTATTTCGAAGGTTATTCTAATTACATTTGAGAGTAAGGTTTTATTTGGGATAGTTTTTTTTTTTTTTAAGCTACTTTAGAGAAATTAAGGATTTGTTTCAGACAGTTTTTTAGTATAAAAAATTTTAGAGCAGCCAGACCACCTAAATTTTTGACAATCCAAGTGAGCATTGACCTTATATTTATTACGCCACATAAAGGAATACTCCGATACTCCTATAGCTTCATAGAGTCATGTACTAATAATGAGGTTGAATATGAAGCTAAAAGTTATTTAGTTATAAATTATATTGTAATGAAATATTACTCTAGAAAGTTGTCCCAAACGAAGCATGGGATAATTTTTTTATTGCTTTTTAAAAGCATTAGATATTTGTTTTATTGTTTTTTAAAGCATTATAAAATTTTTTAAAAGTAATGAAAAAATAATGACAAAAAATTGTCTCAAATGAAGCCTAATTCTGATCTTCTCAATCATATTAATCTTAATATAAAGTTAAAAATTTTAAAAGGTTATATATTGTTTTAGGCTTGTATACATAATTTCAATGTATTTTATGTCCTTTTATCTTCATCTTTTTTTCACCTTTCTTTTTCGGACTGTTAAAATAAGTTGACGTGTCTCGAGTTCGACCCGAAATTGATCTGACTCAAGTCTAGTGAAACTGAAGACGACTTGTTAACCCATTTTGATAAAAAAAATTCTTTTAATCTATTAACTATAAAATTTAGAACATTGGATAAAAAATAAAAAACATTATACCAACAATTAAAAGAAATTAAAGAAAATAGATTTTTAATGGATCATTTTTGAAGCTAACACGAGTTTGCAAGTAACCTGAAACTGTCCCATTTTTTAAGTAGCTCAACCTGACCTGAGTTTTACTAATCTTATTGACGATCAGCTCATATATTGACACCTCTAGTTCCTACTTATTTTTATTTCTCTATCACTCTCTAAAACATTTCTGAATTACTCTCTCTTATCCTCTCTCCCCCCCCTCCACATTCATATAAGATTTTTAATTCATTAATTGAATATAGAAATAAATCATAATTTAATTGTTTTACCGAGTTATACCGAGCAATACAAAAAAATACCGAGTTTTTTCTAGGAAAAACTAGGTATTTTTTTGTATAGCTCGGTATTGCTGGGTATAACTCGGTATTGTTCTTCACATGATGATATTTCACATTATTGTTTGGTATTGCTCGGTATTTGCTCGGTATTTCTCGTTTTTTAGCGCGAATTTAGCTCTGGAGGACGTATCTCTAGTGGGAGGACGCAATAAAAATTCCATTTATTGACACCTCTAGTCCCTACTTATTTTTATTTCTCTATCACTCTCTAAGACATTTCAGAATTACTCTCTTATCCTCTCTCTCTCCCCCACATTTATATAAGATTTTTAATTCATTAATTGAATATAGAAATAAAATCATAATTTAATTGTTTTTAACTTATTTTACCATTTAAAGATTTTTTTATTATAATTATTTTCGAAAGTATATTAACAAAAAAAATTATATTAAAATAGGAAAAAGGTTTGCGCACAATCCATATAATAAAAACTAAAAAGGCAAAACAAAGGGAATAAATGACGGTAAAAACGACAAAACATTTAGAACTCGACTTTTCATTAAAAAAATATTTATCATATTTTGGACTTATCGTTAACTAACATTTCTGCGGAAAAATTTTTTATCAGATAAAAAATAATCTAAACAAATCTAAATATTATTAAATTTATTTTAAGTTAGAAATATGCATAAATAATTACTTAAAGTTTATATATCATTATTTTAAAATTTAATATATTTAAATTATTCGATAAAACCCCTTTGTTTGGAATAGCTTTTTCTCTAGTTTTTAAATCACTCTTACCTTAGCTAGTATATGATATTGTTATAAAAAAGTTTACTAGTTTATTATCATATTTAAAAAGCTTGGTAATTAGGAGGAATCTAACAAATTGAAGGTGGGCCCGCCGAAACGCGGAAACAGCTATGCACCAGCTAATAGCTAATTATGAGCCTTGCGTTGACAGCAACAGGATTGCTGACATCCGTTAATACTGCAAGAATTAACGGCTCAGATTCACTCTTATTGAATCAAGGAGGCACGACTCGACTTACCAACAGGCTCGGTCTGTATAGCCAAAAATAATAATAATAATAATAAAATTATTTGAAGCAAATCGGGCTACTTAAATTTAACTTTTATCAATTTTTTATGGGAGGTTTTTCATTAATCTAATCATAATTTTTAATTTAACTATAACAGCTTTACAATGAATTTTATAAAAAATTATAGTCATCCCAAATAAATAATTAGTTATACATTTTTCTCTTAAGAGAGGAAACATTTTGATTGTGTCTAACCTGCTTTGTAAAGTAACTTTATAGCACAAAAATAAATAACTTTATAGTACAAAATGTTTTTAAAAACAGTAAAAAAAATAATGGTAAAAGATTATCTCAAATGAAACCTTATATGGACCCCTTCTACAAAAGAAAAAATTATTACGTGCGATGTCCGAATGCGTCCAAATGTCAATCTGTACGCACCATGTTATCAAATACAACGTGCATTGGGTGACATGGTGCATCCGGATTAGGGCTCACGGGTCAAATCTGAAACTAACCCGGAACTATTCAGGTCAATCCGAACCCGACCCGTCTTTGAAAACGGTTCGACTTTATGAACCTGACTCGCTTCGAGTCCTGGTCAACCGACACGACCTGAATGACCCATTTCCAACAAAAAAATTACTAGTTTTTTGGTCCAAAAACGGATCATTCTCATTTTTCGGGTAAAAAACGAGTCAATCTCGGGTTGGCATGCCAAATTCATGTTTTCGTGTCAAAGACGGGTCAATTTCAAGTCAAAAGGTCAACCCGAATCCGACCCAATTTTTGAAACGGGTCGAAATATTGAACCCCGAACCCGACCCGTTTCGGGTGCATTTTGACCCTAACAAAAAATTTTCGAGATGGGTTTGTGTCAAATTTTTAAGTCGTGTCAAATATTGACACCCCCCTAGTCTAAATTGACCTCCAGACGCGTTCGGACTCGGCAATGTAATAATCTCTCCTACAAAAGAGAGTTTTTTGGTTTGAGCACTTCTTGTTCTCATATCAAACTTCAAGTCCATTCAATCCCCACTCATTCTAGGAGAAGGGATTGCCCTAATCATTCTCCAGTGTCCACCTAAAGTCACCCATTATAATTAGGTTGCTAGTTTAGAAATCCCCTTTAATTGAAGAAATCGACCCTATTATGTCTCTTAATTACCGTTGCATATAAATGTTTATCCTTTATCCCTCCTTCAAAAAGAATAGGATAATCTCAACTGATCACATGTTAAGGCATAAGTATCCATTCATACTTTATGGGCGGTTTGAAAGATTTCGTGCGGGGAAGTGAGTAAAC